ATCCGTCATTTTCACCGACTTCACCAATCGCGTGCGTTCACAATGGGTCACTTGAACGCTTGGAGTGACCCATTTTTTTTCCAACGGTCTTCTGTATCCGAAAAATGTAGCTTTTATGCAACATAAGCGCGGTTACACAGCTTTTAGGTGGTTTCACGACATTTTGATTCAAGTATATATTTTTATACTATGAATAAAAATGGTCATTAAATTCATCATTCCGATCTTGTCGCACTTTGGCTTGTATGAAATTTCAAGTGTAAGTAAAAAAGTATCGTGGAACCGGCGACGTTTCGCACTTGTACGGATTATGCCATTTCGAAATTATTTCATTTGGTTTTAGAGTTGCAACATTAATCTATCCCCACATTCCTCCTCTGCCGGATATTGCAATACAATTCGACTATGACTCGATACGTACGGAAACGTACTTTATTTATTGTATCATTTCGGATACGTCTACTGTATATATAGATTCTATTTCCGGTTATATCCGTACATAGTCCTGGCAATTAATTGGCTCGCCCAATGAGAAACTTTCTCATCGGAAAATGATGGACTGAATAAAAATAGCGATTCTGAGTATATTATTACTCATAAGTTGAACTTGCTCATGAGAAATATTCTCATTGGCAATATTGTACAGAATAGTTTAACCAATATATTGCTTAAGTATACATGACTTGCACTTAGCATCCCATCCTAGCGGGTTAATGCTTTTCCTGTCTTGCCGGCGAAGCGGTTCCACAACATGTGGTTCATTTACCGTACAGGCCGCCCAAACATACAGTACATATCAGAGGCACTTGCAAGGACAGTACAGATGCAGTACGGCGCGACAGGGGCTTACCTCGTGTTGTACAGTATAAGAAGTCAACGTGCGGGGGTGGCGAGTGCCTTTCTGAATGAAGCTTCGAAAAGTGGAAGCGCGCAAAAACGAAACCGTCAATCAAGTGCCAGCAGAGAACAATAACGGTCGAAATATATCGGCTGCAGGGTGAAATATATTGGCGAAAAGTGAAATTATATGATAGTTGGTCGAATTATACCGCTGGCTTGGTGAAATAGTAAATGGAGATAACCGATACTAGTATGTGCCAAGTTAAGCGATATGTAGTGAAAAAAGCTGAAATTCTCCGCAAAAAGGTGGAGGGGTTAGCTATCGCTAACTACTAGACCTCCTGACGTATGATCAAGCCTCCAGTCAGTGGCCAATTACATTCCAAGTACTCCCATGTGTTCTTGGATGGACTTTCATGACTGGTCAGACATCCGGGTTCTAATATATGAGTCATTTTGCAGCGATCGATTATGGGATTGGTCCCTCGATCATCTCGTGTACGTTAATGATTTATCAGTCATTCACTATTTTCGGAAATCACTCGATGTTTTCCAAGAACACTGATTGGGCACAAGAACGTTCAGTAATCTCCTAATAAACCCCGAAACCCCGCAACCCCGAAACCCCGAAAATAGAACCATGGGGAACCTGAACAGAGTCTCAATGACAATTGAAGTCATGACTGTGGATGACTGTGACGGTGATAAACTTTGGTGAAACACGAAATTGACCAAAACACGACAGTTGTGAAAGTATTCCCTCACAATACCTCATTACGAATCGAAATAGACTCCTCAGACAACAACCACGTCGTTAATCTATTTTGCGAGTGGCACGCATGATCGTAGACTTCATTGTTGTTACTGATCTCAAGAATATCACCAAAAAACGAAATAACACTTAGTCAAGGCTTACAACATTATGCAAGGCGTGCTTACAGCTGGCGCCTTGTTCATTCGTCACGAGGTCTAGTCATGCACTGACTGAGGTCTACTGTACTGTACTGGGTTTTGCAACGTGGCAACTTGGTGCAATCAAAAATGGGTGCATTTTAGGATTTTGTTCTACCTAGGCGTGTGCACTGAATTTGTGCAATTCTGTCTAAGTTTTAGTCAAATATAACGAGTTTTATTAGTTAAAGCTGGCCACACTTCATAGAATTACCTTACAAAGTAATGCAATTAGGTAAGAAATCGGATTTCTTCAATATTGACCATTGGAAATACCTCGATCTCTTTTTGGAAAAGGGTCACTACATTACAAAAACATCTTTCTTTTTTGGCGAACTATGGGGTATTTGTCAGTTTGAATGCACTCTATTTGAATGATGAGAATATGAAAAACTACTTTGTGTCTAGTCAGTCATTCAGTCTCTGGGTTAGAGGTCTACTGAAATGCATCCCCTATAATAGTACAGTACCGGTAATAGGTGAGGCGATTGGAGCATACAACGTTCCATATAAACAGTGTATTCTGAGAAAAGCCACAGTGGAACTATTTTATTGAGGGAATTGTACGTAATGTTACCAGAATGATGAAAAATTGCAAGAGGAGATGGTAAGCGGTACGAGTATACAATTGCACACCTGAGTACTCCATATGGTTTCCCGGGATGCACCTCTTGTCAACCGAAAAATTCCCTCATCAAAGCAGTTCCACTGTTGTTTTTCCTCGAAATACTGTTTCAATGGTCGTGTTTCCCATTTTTGAATTCCCCCAGTGTCAAGCATGTTCTCGTCCTTCAAATCTGCTGCAGTCCTTGCTCTTGTGGCCGTGGCATCGGCTGATGGCATTTTTAACGTATTTGAAGAGTCGGTTTGCATTGCCAACCAAGCTCAAGCGGCCCCCTGTTTGAACGATGCCCATCCCATCAAGTATCAACTTGCCCAAGCTGTGGCTCGTGTTCGCTTAGGGAACTTATACCTCACGGGGTGGCTGTGGGGGTCGGAAGGCCACTTGGTCACCAACCACCACAACATCCGGAACGAGAAAATTGCCAACAAGGCCCGAGTCGAGTTTGGCTCCGAGTGTTCGACTTGTGCCGACCCCAGCAATGATGACAAAGGTGGCTGTGTTGGAACGTTTGTCGCCGACAGCACAACGCTTGTGTTTACGGACAAATTGTTGGACGTGTCGTTGCTCAAGTTGAACTTAAACCCTGGTGTGAACTTGACCCAGTACGGGTACTTGCAAGCCCGCGCCGCGAACGCCTCGTTAGACGAAGAAGTCTACCTCTTGGGCCACCCCTTTGGCAAACCGAAACACATTACGTTCGAGCACGACGACGGCACGCACGCTCGCGTTACCAGCACGTCCACACCCTCGGTATGCCACGAGCAAGACACGTTGGGGTACAATCTCGACACCGAAAGCGGAAGTTCAGGCTCCCCCGTCTTGGGCGCCCACGACAACAAGGTTGTAGCGTTGCACAACTGCTGGGGGTGCCACTTGAACGGTAAAAACACCGGCAACAAGATGACCAAAATCGTCGCTCTCTTGAGGTCTCAGAACTTGCTGCCCAAGGACGCTGTGGCCGATGAAATCGTCCCTCACTTGAGGTCTAAGAATTCGCTGCCCAAGGACGCTGTGGCCGATGACCACTGCTAAGTGTTTGTTGTGGTTCCCTCCGATCGATTGTTGAGCTCTTTGTACGTATTAGTTAAAATATCAATACAGTATATGTACAATCGTTTAAGGTATCCTTATTTGACCACAGTGCAATTTGAATCAATGTACTTTTCCAACGATCTCGGAGTACATGCTCGAGTGAATAAGAGCATCTCCAACGCGGGTCCCTATCCCAACTCTATATCCCCAAATTATGGGGATGTCCCCAAAATGTTCAGTTATTGGGACGTCCGAGCGAAATGGGGACAAAAACACCCGGATACATCCCCAAATTATCCGTAACTTCGATGATACCACTATTGTAACAGGTTTTGGGGATAGGGACATCGATATAGGGACCCCCGTTGGAGATGCTCTTAGACCCCGATGTTCGCCCCATGGCGAAGGTGTCGTCCGGTGTTGTGCGCAAACATATCAAGAGAAATACACCTTGGGGCTCGATGATGAAGTCTTTCTCCATCTGCATCTTGGGATTGTGTGACATAATTGGACAAACACAGTGGATTTTCAAGATCCATGTGTTGTGGCCAATCATGTTGAGTTATTTCATGTCGGTTGGTTTGATTTGTCATTGAAATCGAATTGCGAAGTATATAGGCCAATCAGAGTTGAACATTTAGAATTTACTTCGATTCAAAGTGTGGCTTAAAATCCTTCGTTGTCTGAATGACGTTTATATTGGACACAGTTGCACTACACACTATATACTACTCCAGTACTACTAGTAGTACTGTACATCCCAGGCTGTCGCCATGGATGGTACCGGTATGATCAAACAAAACACAAGCGCATCCGGTTACACCAGAAAACCCACCATTTATGCGGATACAGCAAATGGGGAATGGAACCACATGATCCATTCGACGCTCTAAAAAGTGCTCATAATATCGTCGTTTCTAGGCTTCTTGCACCATGTGTACTTCGAAGTACTACTTTGGTCCAAAGTAGCTGTCGTGTTGCATATTTTCGAAGGTGCAGTTTTGTTTGACTTATAATTTGTATATTTAATATATCATTTATATATGTTTAGTATATGGTATACAAACCTCAATATGATTAAAGCATATTTACTCTGTTCGACAAATTCAGTTCGACATAATGGATAAGTTCCCACTTATTCTTACAGTGTAGTGTTAACAAATCAAATACAATACCAGGTACCTCTTTCCTCGCTCGTCCTTCTTGACAACGAGTGCAGTTGATTCACAATGGGTGACCATGATATTACTCCCGAGTACTACCAGTATAAGCGATCGCGAACTGATACAGCACCGGTAGTAGAGTACTTCAAGCACGGACGGATACATAGGTACCTGGACATGCTGCGCTGTACATACGTCCATATGGATAACAACAGGAAAATACACAAAAACATATTTGATGTGGCATGCAAAACCGCCGGTAAATGTACGGTACCCCCATTTCAAACCATCATGCCATTGCCCGCTCCATGCGTCGACCCAAAGCACTACGTGTCTCGCCACTCGAGACGCCCACGATACCGGTACAGTATCTCCAGCGTCAGTCCACCAAAGGTAATCGATATGATTTAGTGGTACTAGTACCTACAGTAGTACTACAGTAACGTACTAGTAACTAGTAGTAGTAGTATTTTAATTCTTAACGTTACTGCAGATCCATATGTAGAATTTATCAAGTGGGCGATGTACTGCGGAGTACATCACTCGAGAGTTGCCACTCCTTTGGACGAGTTTAATGGTTTGACGACCATACCACGTTCGTGTGTTCCACTTTTGAATTCCCCCAGTGTCCAATACTAAGCATGTTCTCGACCTTCAAACCTGCTGCAGTCCTTGCTCTTGTGGCCGTGGCGTGCATCGAGGCTTGTGGTGTTGATCAATCTCTAGCGGCCCGCTGTTTGACCGATGCCCATCCCATCAAGTACCAACTTGCCCAAGCTGTGGCTCGTATTCGCACCAGTGTTACATACTGCACAGCGTGGCTGTGGGGGTCGGAAGGCCACTTGGTCACCAACCACCACAACATCCGGAACGAGAGCGTGGCCAAGGAGACCCGAGTCGAGCTTGGCTCCGAGTGCTCGACTTGTGCCGACCCCGGCAATGATGACCAAGGTGGCTGTGTTGGAACACTTGTCGTCGACAGCACCACGCTTGTGTTTACGGACTACGACTTGGACGTGTCGTTGCTCAAGTTGAACTTAAACCCTGGTGTGAACTTGACCCAGTACGGGTACTTGCAAGCCCGCGCCGCGAACGTCACGTTGGACGACCAAATCTACATCCTGG